ATGTTGTATTAGTTTCTGCTGTACAACAAAGGGAATCAGCCGTGTGTATACATACACCCACTCCCTCTTGAAGCTCCCACCCAACCCCATGTGTCACCCTCTAGGTTGTCCCAGAGCACTGAGCTGAGGTCGTGGGCTGTCCAGCAGCCTCACCCGAGGGGTCTGTGACACAGGTGGTGTGTGTGAGCACTGCCCCCTCAGTGTGTCCCGCCCTCCCCTCCCCGTTCTGTGTCCACACGTCCGTTCTCCATGTCTGCCCAGCAGTTTCTACCATGTTTGCCCTCTATTTCTGCCATTTTTCTAGATTCCATGTATATGCAATAATTATGATATTTTTCTCTTTCTGACTACTCTTTATGACTGACTTTAGGGTATATGTATCTTTCTGAATTATGGTACTCTCAGAGTATATGCCCAGTAGTGGGATTGTTGCGTCATATGGTAGTTTTATTTTTCGTTTTTTAAGGAACCTCCATACGATTCTCCCGGAGAATGCAATGGCACCCCACTCCAGTACTTCTTGCGTGGAAAATCCCATGGATGGAGGAGCCTGGTAGGCTGCAGTCCATGGGGTCGTGAAGAGCCAGACACAGCTGAGCGACTTCACTTTCACTTTTCACTCTCATGCATTGGAGAAGGAAATGGCAACCCACTCCAGTGTTCTTGCCTGGAGAATCCCAGGGATGGAGGAGCCTGGTGGGCTGCCGTCTATGGGGTCACACAGAGTCGGACTGAAGTGACTTAGCAGCAGCAGCATACTGTTATCCATGGTGGCTGTATCAGTTATATTCCCACCTACTGTGCAAGAGAGTTCTCTTTTGTCCACACCTTCTCCAGCATTTATTCTTTGTAGATTTTTTGATGATGCCCATTCTGGTCATTATGGTTTTGATTTGCATTTCTCTTATAATGAGTGATGTTGGGCATCTTTTCACGTGTTTGATGATGGTGCATCATCTTTGGCGAAATTTGAAAATGTGGGGCACTTCACAAATTTGCATGTCATCCTTGTGCAGAGGCCATGCCAATCTCTGTATCACTACAGTTTTAGTATATGTGCTGCCGAAGTGAGCACGTTAGTGGTTTTTTAATGGACATTTAATTTTGGTGAAATTTCTTTTGCTTTATGGTTGAAGATAAATGATGTTTCAGAACGTGTTATTGAATAATCTTTCCCATAGACATATGAAGTTCTACAATTAACATATACTGATTTCCCAAAGATATTTTGCTCCTTTCCTTGTCCTTTATCAGTTAAAAAATACATTTTGGAGTGTCTGAAAACTTGCTAAAATTATACATACTCTCCCTGAAAACTGTGTGCACAGACAATATTTTCACACAGTTTCACAAGATATGCGGAAACCATGAGATCATTCATAAACCTCTAATCAAACCTCCCTTTCCACTTTTTTAAGTATTCCAGCATTCACTTCATCCATGGAAGGCTTAAATTATCCCCCCTGAGTGTTTTCCTTTATAAAACCATGTATACTCACATTATTGTAAGGACTGGTGTGTTTTTATTTTAAAAGGAATCCTCTATTTCCTTTCAAAATTAAGAATCTTAAGGAAATAGTAGACATTTAATTAAACTTCTGTGTAAGTTTGCTAACTTTCTTTTAGATAAGCGGAATGAAGCTTAGAGAGGAAATATGAGTTCCCAAATTTTTACACATCTAATTACTGTCTTAGGTGTGTGGTTCAATACCGTCTTTCTCAAATTCCAAATTCCATGTAGTCTTTACTATGCTAAATTCCCTCCCTCATATGCTCTCTAATATATAAAAGACTGGGTACCTACATAGTGATGCTAAAATCTAGTGATATTAAAAGGTATTAAGTATCTCTGAAGATGGCCATAGGCTAAGTCTTCTTCTAAAAACTTTCTCCATAATCCAGTCTTCACCCTCTAGGTTAAGGAAGAACAGTAGGCCTTAGAATGTAGTTTTGGATTCCTTCCTTGAACCTGATAGACACAGGGTCCTAAGGAAATATTGATGAACATACAGGTTAAATTCCACTAAGAAATGTCTCACTAAAAGGTTGTTAGAAATATACTCTATATTTTGGCAGAGTTGTTACAATAGTTAATAATAGTTTGCATTTGTGTGGTGCTCTTTAACCTGAAAGTATCCTTAGTTACATTATCATCTTTTATCTGTTCACATTGTCCTCGAGACAGATTTTATTAGCTCATTTTTTCAGATGAAGAAATTGTCCCCACTTCTTAGGGTGACTTACCCAAGGTCATTTTAGCCAGTAAGTGGCAGAGCTGGCACTTAACCATTTAACTCCTGAACTTTGTCTTTGCTAGAAATGCATTTCTGTTTACATAGCTGGTTTAGCTTAAAACAGAGTTAATACTTACCTTCTCTGTTTAAAAAAAAAAAAAAAGAGTTGAGGGTGCGTACTAGGTTGGACATTTGAACAAAGATAGATGAATATGCCTTCTTGTTGTGGTGTGGGTGAACCCTGTTGGCATATGCAAAAGAGCTTAGCCATATAAGAACTGGAAATAAGATTTCCAAATAGAAATGTTACAGAAGCCCTAAAATTGTCTCAGTACAAGCCATTTTAAAAGAAAGAAAAACAGCCCAATTTTTACTCCTTTTCTCCCTGCCTTGATGTTTTGAGATATAACTTGAATTTATCTGACAGGGAAGCTGGGGTCTGTTTGAGGAGGAAGGATAGTTGAAAGTAATTGCTCTTTTGCATTTTAGGACAGGATAGCCTTGATCTCTCTTCTGAAGGTATAGTTGAGAATATCTGTTGAAGACCTAAATGGTGAAGGACTGTAGAAGGTATTCAGTTTATATATTAGAATACTGTTGTAGAAAACTTAGATAGCTTTTCTTGTGCAGAACTCTTTGCTGATTTACTTAGCTTTTATCTATGTAATGTATTTCATAAATTTAAAAATTACATAATATACTTTTATAATTCATCTGTAAGATTACGCTATGTAATTGAATACATAAATAAATTATATTTGCTGGTGACATAACTTTTAGTGACAGTACTTCATTCTGTAGGGCTCTTGATTACTCTTTGCACTTGAATATATAAAGGTATGCTCACAGCAGAGTTAGATTTACATGTGAAAGGCAGCCCGTGAGAATACTCTGGTTTTAGGGGAAATGGGAGTGGTAAGTAAAACTTGAAGTAGTAATTTTTAAAAACATGAATAATAAAGTATATTGTTATAAAACTTTTTTGTCAAAAGGATGTTTTTACATAGAACAATTAGAAATAGCTTAAATAAATTTTGTGACATTAAGACAATGCTGTGCAGCTATAAAAATGGTGTGGTGTGATATTTGATGACATCTCATACACATCTTTGTAGCTAAGCATACAAAGCATTCCCGTAGGCACTGTTAGCAAATAATTCCATTAATAATGCTGTAAAGTAGTATGGGCCAGTTGCTTCCCTTTTGAACAGAGGAAGAAATTGAAACCCTCAGGAAAATCCCTAAGTTAAGGGTCTTCTTTGAGCCGTACACAAGTCTCCAGATTCAGCTACTAGTGCTCTTTCCACTTGTTATAAAAGCAGTGGTATCATTTCTTAAGGTTTTTTTTTTTTTAAGGTTTGGTTTTAAATTTGGCTTTGTTTCAGCCCCTTTTAAGAACGTATCAGAAGTCAGAGTCAGCTATTAATTGTTAGGTTTTCAGTTTTTATGCTTAGTGATATGATACTTCCTGAGATTATGGAAACTATAGTTCCTTGCCTTTGGCTGGGAAATATCTAAGAATAAAGCACGTATACCTGTAAATTAGATGCCTTCTAGAAGTAAGTAAATATAAATTACATTTACAGTTATTGAGTAGCATTAGAAATTGTATAGTGAATTCATGTAAAGCATCCCTTTGCTTGTATTTGATGGTTTGTTAATTGAGATTTGTAAAGGACTTTTATAAATGTAGGTTTTTTTGTTTTGTAACTTCATTAATTTATAAATATTGAACCTGGGTTTTTCTGCCAACAAGTGCTTGGAGAATTAATTGTAATACCAGTTTGAATCACATTTCCATCTCTTATTTAGAAAGATTAAAAAAAATTTCTAATGTCAAAATTAAAGACAACAAAAATGGATTTCCCAGCTATAAAATGAATAGGCAATTCATGATTTACCACTGGCTGATGTGGATAAATCAGGGCTTCCCTGGTGGCTCAGTGGTAAAGAATCTGCCTGCAGTGCAGAAGACACAGGAGGCCCTGGTTTCCATCTCTGGGTTGGGATGATTCCCCTGAAAGATTGGATGGCAGTCCACTGCAGTATTCTTGCCTGAAGAACCCCATGGACAGAGGAGCCTGACAGGCTACATTGTAGTCCATAGGGTACGAGTCGGGTACGACTGAAGTGACTGAGCCTGCAACAGATTATGGATAAATAACCACTGTAGCCATGAAGCTTAGGCATCAGAGGCACTGTTTAAAAAAAAAGCGTTGAAATCATATGGCTTTTACGATTAGAAGAAGGAATGAAAAGCAGAGTTGACTACAGAAACCTGAATCTGGAACAGGTTTCTAGACAGAACTGACATGCCATATGGTCAACTCTACTCCAGAGAAATAGGCACTGCCAGAATGTCTTTATTAATTGTGTTACACTGTTTAGGTTCTACTAAATAATTTTTAGTTTATGCATTTTTGTTTGAAAAATCCATTGTACCTCTGAGAAGGTTTGACTGTGTATGTCATTCTGAATTGATTCTGTTGTTTAACACTGCTGAAATCTCTTTAAGTTGAGGGTAACAATTTTAAGGGACTTGGATGCCTAGGGAGAGGTCACTAGAAGACATGAGAGCTATATACTGAAAAGGTAGAAGGATAAATTGTCAGATACATAAACATTTATCTTTTCCACAATTTAAAATTAACTGCAATTATTTCAGAATTAAATGACTTCTATTAATTAACCAAATGTCCCTTTTATTAACTTTTACATTGATACCACTCATATTTTTATCCTTTGACCTATTTTTCATTTTTATAGATAATGTGGAGAACTTTAGTGAAGAACATGAAAAGAATAGTCATCATATTTACAAAAATGCTGAAGACAGTACTAAGAAACACAATGCAGAAACTACAGTGGCTTCTGGATACAAAGCTGATGAAATCAAGGAAAATGATACTTGGAATTCCCAACTTGGAAAGAGGTCAGAATCGCCATCAGAAACATCGTCAATCAAGGGATCTGTAAGAACTGGTTTATATGAATGGGATAATGATTTTGAAGATAGCAGATCCGAAGATTGTATTTTAAATCTGGATAGTGATCCTCTTTTGGAGATGAAGGATGAGGATTTTAAAAATCGGTTGGAAAATCTAAATGAAGCCATTGAGGAAGACATGATGCAAAGTGTTCTTAGGCCAAGCAACTGTAGGACGTACTGTAGGGCCAATAAAGCAAAATCCTCACAAGGAGCATCAAATTTTGATAAGCTAATGGACGGCACCAGTCAGGCCTTAGCCAAAGCAAACAGTGAATCAAGTAAAGATGGCCTGAATCAGGCAAAGAAAGGCAGTGTAAGTTGTGGGACCAGTTTTAGAGGGACGGTTGGACGGACTAGAGATTATACTGTTTTACATCCATCTTGCTTGTCAGTTTGTAATGTTACCATACAGGATACTATGGAACGCAGCATGGATGAGTTCACTGCTTCGACTCCTGCAGATTTGGGAGAAGCTGGCCGGCTAAGAAAAAAAGCAGATATTGCAACATCTAAGACCACTACTAGATTTCGACCTAGTAATACTAAATCTAAAAAGGATGTTAAACTTGAATTTTTTGGTTTTGAAGATCATGATGAGACAGGAGGTGATGAGGGAGGTTCTGGGAGTTCTAACTACAAAATTAAGTATTTTGGCTTTGATGATCTCAGTGAAAGTGAAGATGATGAAGATGATGACTGTCAAGTGGAAAGAAAGACAAGCAAAAAAAGAACTAAAACAGCTCCATCACCCTCCTTGCAGCCTCCTCCAGAAAGCAATGATAATTCCCAGGACAGTCAGTCTAGTACTAATAATGCAGGTAAGACTTAAAAAATTAAAAGTAAATGTGTTTTTCAGGCTTAAATAATAGCTACTTAGTTTTCTTCTGGATAGCTTGTAACTTGTTACTACATTTAATTTTAACAGAAATACCTATTCAGTGTCAAAGATTACCTTATCTAAAGATACAGCATTTTAAATGTAAATAAAGTCCCACCTTGTAAGGAACCAATTTGTAAATTGAGGAGTCTTTTCATATTTGTGTTTTAATTCTGCCATTAGCACTTGAGAATTTTAAAATTGTGTATATTTGTGTGTACACAGAGATACCAAACATCTTGATGTTTTAGCTTTGAATAACTAAACCCAATGTAGAGAGAAGGATAGACTTTGGTCATTTAGAATTGTATTGATATTAGATGGTTGAAATGAGGGAAATACCTTAAATTTATAAAGTTAAGATTAAATCTTAATCTTAAGGATCACCCTCATAAGTTGACTTAATAAAATTGAAAGATGCTAGCTAAATGTTTTTACATTCTTATCAGTGAAATTAATTTGTCCCTTAGGATAGTAGGACTCATAATGACTTGAGGAGTTGATAGTCTCCACTGAAAGACAAAAGAAATAGGTTAGCCTTGCTATGAGTAAGTCACTACTTGTCAAGAACATTATGATGTGAATTGACTGTTGAGTGAGGAATAAAGAGTATGTGAAAGCCTTTGTGATACAGGGGCTTATATTTATTTATATTTAACCAAATACATTTTTCTTATGTTGGTTTACTTGTTAAAGCTTTACCCTTTTAGGGTCATGGAACAAGAATCATGGTGAGTTAGAGCTATCATAGTGTTTCTATGTATAGATTCTCTCACAGAGTATGTCATACTTGAGACTACTTACCATTTTGCTTCAGTTGACCTAAAAATAATTTTGCTAGATTAGAATCATTCTTATTTTCAAAACTAGAATTAAATAGGAGTACCCCCTAGCAGCCTGCCTTACTCCCTACTGGAAAAAATAAGACTATTTTCAGAATTCATCCCGTGTTGTCTTGAATCCCTTCTGAAGAAATGAAGTCTGCTGCATTTTTGCTAGTCACGTGAGCTGTGACTGGGCAGACAGCTTTACATTTGCTTTCTCAGGAGGAGGATTAGTAACTGCATACTGAAACCTGTACTCCTGTCCTGTCAGCTTCTGGGCTAACCTTGATGGCAAGTTATCCTAAACCATTAGACTCCCTTTCAGAAAGGTCAAGTTGATACCAAATAACGTTTTAAAATTAGAGACCATTTGATTGATATATTCAAAGTTGGAATCTAAGTCTTCATACAGTTTAAGAGTTAGCATAGAGAAAAGTGTCCCATTTTTTTTCCCCCTCTTTTTTTTTGTTTAGGCTAGGGAAAAAATACAACTATTTGGAATCTAATCCTTTGGTTGGTTTTTGTGAGAACGCCACAGACCATTGAACTACATTGTACTAGGTCATTCTGTATCTTTTGCCAAGGATAGCTATATCCTTTTTTTTTTTTTAATGTGGCTTCTGTAGATGTTAACCAGGCATTCCTTGAAGGCCAACATGATTCAGTGTACTTTAATTCTAGAAAAACGTTACAGGTACATACCACCTGTTGGTGTGTGCATGTGTGTATTTTAAACTAGACTGCCGGTTTTAATGTTGATAGGTAACGAGCAGTTATATGAACATTGAAGAACAAATTATTCTAGAAAATAATTGATTTTGCTGATAAAATTGGAGCACATACACTGCAACTAAGTTTCTGATTTTCATCTAGAGTAGGGTACAAGCAGGGAGTGAGTATGGGAGAGTGAGAATAATACCATTGGAGTATTTCGTCAGCTATGTGTTGTTTTTATTTTATCTTTTCCTCCCCACAGTATGCTTCTTTCTCCCCATAATGTTCATAAGTTGTCTGGTAGATGATTTGAAATAATACAAAGCTAGCTAGTTTTGATTACCATTTCAGAAAACTTGGATTTTACAGAGGACTTGCCTGGTGTGCCTGAAAGTGTGAAGAAGCCTCCAAATAAACAAGGAGATAAATCAAAGGAAAATACCAGAAAGATTTTTAGTGGCCCCAAACGGGTAAGTAAAGCACTATCAGTGATTTGTATTATTTGTTGTTGGAGGGCTTAACTCTTAATTTTCTAATTTAAAAATTACCAACAAACATCATGGCAATATAATTTTGTCTTTCAAAGGCTATATGGAAGTCATTTTGTAAAAGCATTGTAACCATGTTTTTAAGTGTGATAAAACACACATAACATACTCTTTATTATATGCAAGTATACAATTCAGTGACATTAACCATTAACAAATAGCTCCATTAAATGATAACTCCACCTTGACCCCTGGTAAATACTATTTTTCTTTCTGTCTCTATAAGTTCCCCTATTCTAGGTAGCTCATGTAAGTGGAGTCACACAATGTTTGTCTATTTGTGTCTGGCTTATTTCACTAAGCATTTTGTCGTCAAGGTGTTCCATCCTTGTTGTAGGGATATATCATATATCAGGATGTTGTTTGTTTCTTATGACTGAATAATATTACAGTGTATGTGTATACCACATTTTGTTTATTTACTCATCTGTAGATGGACACTTGGGTGGTTCTCATTTTTTGGCTGTTTTGAGTCCCTGCTTTCAATTGATTTGGATATTTAGGAATGGAATTTTTAGGACATATGGTAGGTCTGTGTCTTTTTTTTTTTTTTTAATATTTATTTATCAGGCTGTGCTGGGTCCTGTATTGCTGTGTGAACTTTAGTTGTGGCAAGCAGGGGCTACTGCCTAGTTGCAGTGTACACGTTTCTCATTGAAGCAGCTCTTCTTGTGGAGCACATACTCTAGAATGTTCAGGCTTCAGTAGTTGTGGCACTTGGACCACAAGTAGTTGTCCTGCAGCATGTGGGATCTTCATAGACCAGGTATTGAGTTTGTGCCTCCTGGCACTGGCAGGCAGATTCTTTACCACTGAGCCACAAGGGAAGCCCAGGTCTATGTTTTACTGCCAGACTTTTCCACCTTGACTGCACCATTTTTATATTCCTAGTAGTGCATAAGGTTTCCAATTTTTCCACATCCTCACCAACATGTTATTGTCTGAGTTTTCTGATAATAGCTATCCTAATGTGTGGGAAATAGTATCTCATTGTGGTTTGATTTATATTTTACTAATTAATGATGTTGAGCATCTTTTCATGTACTTACTGGACATTTGTACACCTTTTTAGAGAAATGTCTATTTAGTGCCCAATTTTTAATTAAGTAGTTTGGTTTTTTTGTTGAGTTATAGGAGCTCTTTATATATTAACGCCTCATTAGATTATATAATTCACACATAAATGTTCCTATACTGTGAATTGTCTCTTTACTTTCTTGATAGTGTGCTTTAATATCAGTGAAATCAAATTTATCTTTTTTTCTTTTGTTACCCACACTTTTGGTGTCATATTTAAAATCATTGTGAAATTAGATGTCATGTACCTTTTCACGTATGTTTTCCTCTATGTTTTATAGTTTTAAGCTTTACATTTAGGTCATTGATTTCATTTTGAGTTAATTTTTGTATATAGTGTTAAGGGTAAGTTCATTCTTATGCATTTTATAAGTCTTTTAAATATGGTCCTGCATAGGTATTGAGAATAATTTGCTTGACTTTACCTTTGTATTTAAAAATTCCTTTACTTAAAAAGCTTACATAATGTTATGCAGTTTTGTTATTGTAGATTGAACTACTTTTAAGCAACTAAAAAATGAGTGTGTCTATATTATCTGGCTTCATTTTAGTTTTAATTCTTTTACCTCTGAAGAGCCGGTTAGGAATCTTTTTAGAGTGATTGTGTTAAAATATACTTTTGTACCCCCATGTACCCACCTCCCAGCAGGGGGAAAAATGCTAATTTCAGTGGAGCTAACTTGTTCTGGAGCCAGGGGCTACGGTATTAAGGACTGTGGTCCTTAATTCTTAGGTGAGAGTTTGATTTCTAAAATTGTGTATGGCATGTGTTGATTTCTAGTGTGAAAGTTAAACCACTTTTTTGGTCTCAGGACTACTTTACAGTCTTAAAAATTTTACTGAGAATCCCAAACTGATTTTGATTATATATGTTATATTTACCAAATAGAAAATGAAAATGTGTATCAAAGATACTTAAAATTTGCTTAAAATAATAATCCATTATTAATATAGCATTTTAATGAGAATTATTTTCTTAAAACAAGAAGTGAGATAGATGAGTATCAGTGTTTTACATTTTTTTGCAAATCTCTTTATAAAGTTTGACTTAATAAAAGACAGCTAGATTCTTCAGGATTGTTGTTGTTCAGTCACTAAGTTGTGTATGACATTTTGTGACCCCGTGCTGCAGCATGCCAGGATTCCCTGTCGTTCACTCTCTCCTGAAATTTGCTCAACTCATGTCCATTGAATCAGTGATGCCATTCAACCATCTATTTTCCTTCACCCCCTTCTCATTCCTGCCCTCAGTCTAATGAGTCGGCTGTTTGCATCAGGTGGCTGAAGTATTGGAGCTTCAGCATCAGTACTTCCAATTAATATTCAGGGTTGATTTCTGTTAATATTGACTGGTTTGATCTCTTTGCTGTCCAAGGGACTCTAAAGAATCTTCTCCAGCACTAAAATTTGGAAGCATCAATTTTTGCCGCTCAGTCTTCTTTATGGTCCAGCTCTCACATCCATACATTGACACTGGAAAAAACATAGCTTGGATTATTCGGATATTTGTTGGCAAAGTAATGTCTCTGCTTTTTAATAGGCTGTCTAGGTTTGTCACAGCTTTTCTTTCAAGGAGCAAGTGTCTTAATTTCATGGCTACAGCCACCATCTGCAATAATTTTGGACCCCAAGAAAATAAAGTCTGTTTCCATTGTTTCCCCATCTATTTGCCATGAAGTGATGGGACTGGATGCCATGATCTTCATTTTTTGAATGTTGAGCTTTAAGCCAACTTTTTCACTCTCTATTTCACCTTCATCAAGAGGCTCTTTAGTTCCTCTTCGCTTTCTGTGATTAGAGTTGTGTAATCTGTGTATCTGAGGTTGTTGATATTTCTCCCAGGAATCTTGATGCCAGTTTGTGACTCAACCAGCCTGGCATTTTGCATGATGTCCTCTGTATTGTAAGTTAAATAAGTAGGGTGACAGTATACAGCCTTGTCGTACTCCTTTCTCATTTGGGAACCAGTCCGTTGTTCCATGTCCAGTTCTAACTGTTGCTTCTTGACATGCATACAGGCTTCTCAGGAGACAGGTAGGTAGGTGGTGTGGTATTCCCATCTCTCTTCAGGATTTTCCACAGTTTGTTGTGATTCACACAAAGGCTTTAGCATAGTCAGTGAGGCAGAGGTAGATGTTTTTCTGGAATTCCCTTGCTTTTTCTAAGATCTGACAGATGTTAGCAGTTTGATCTCTAGTTCTTTGGGATTAGCAGATGCACACTAATCTATTTAGGATGGATAAACAGCAAGGTTCTACTCTTTAGCACAGGAGACTATATATTCAGTATCTCATGATAAACCATAATGGAAAAGAATATGAAAAAGAATGTATATGTATAACTGAGTCACTTTGTTGTACAACAGAAAATAACAGCATTGTAAATCAACTGTACGTCAATAAAAAATTTTTAAGAGACAGCTAGATTCTTAATCCTCTACATTCAGTACTTTTTATTATATTGTTTTAGTTGAAAAGTATGAAGAAATTCTAGCCTAGCAGTATTTTAAGTAGCCTTTTCAGGTAATCGTGGACATTCTGCTTTGATACTACATCAAAATGCAACAAGCAGGAGTTACTTAAAGATTAATTGAAGCTTAGAACCTAAGATCATGCCAGTGAACTTTTCATACTGTTACATTAAAATCTATTGGTCTCTCCTGCTTTTGAATGAATCTTTTACACATGAGTGTTTTATAACATCATACAGTGGTCTTTTGGAAAATACTGTTTACACTGGTTTATCCCAGCTTTCATATGATGACACATATACAGTATCAAAAATATCACTGCCAGACTGAAGCTGTCAAGTTCAAAATAGTAGATCAAAGTTCTCCAAAATTTTAGTTTTTGCTTAAAAGTTGAAATTTTTTTCATTGGCAGAAAATAACTTCAGGGAAAACAACTGGCAGTGACAGGCCTACTTTGTTCATTTTTGAGAAAATGTCTGCCTAACACCCAGGTCTGTGTAAGCAGTTCGTCAGTCTTTCAAATAAAGAATGGTGTTCAGAAAAAAAGTAGCTAGTTCAGCTTGAAACTTGAGCAGTAAATAGTGTTTTTTCTTTGATACAACTACACTTTGTATGCAACAGAAGTGTTTTAGGTACACTGATTTTTCTCACATAGATCATTAGTGCACTTAAGGGTTACAGTTTAATTAGTAATTTTACCTAATTCATCAAGGGCTTTTTTCTTAACGTGACAGTGGCATTTTATTTTGATTGTTTTTTTTTCTTTGGGATGTAGTTGCTTTATAATGTATGTTAGTTTGAAACTGGCATTTTATTTTATAACTGTGGAGTATGTAACACTGAAGAACATAACTACTTATATACAGTTCAGAGCCCCTACGTTGATTCATGCTAAGACATCAACAGCTTTACCCAGCATTGCTTTTGCACCATCCCTACAGATATCAAAACAGTGAAAAGGGCAGACAACATATTATTTTTCTGAAAGTGGATTTTTCTTTGTAGACACTCTGAAAGTTTCCTGGATCCCTAGAAGTCCATGAACCACAGTTTGAAAACTTCTGATTTATAATATTCTACCTTATTTCCCTCTCCCTCAACTTTTTATTATGAAAAAGTTAAAATTTACACAAGATGTGAAAAAAACAATGTGATGAATACCATATTCCTCTACCTAGATTGACCCCTCCAGTTGTTATAACTACACACAAAGTCACCTTCCTATTCCCTCTTTTCATGTGTGTGTGTGCGTGCGTGTGTGCATTTGCATATGTGTATTACCTAACATTTTACCCTGTCTATTTGAAAGTAAGTTGTGAAGTTGTAGATCACATGCATTTCTCAAGAAAAAGGACAGTCTTCTTACCTAACTGTG